CCTCCCTCTCTCCCTCTCCCTCCCTCCCTTTCTCTCTCTTTAAATCGATAAAAGCATATCCTGAGGTGAGGATTAAAAAAAAAGTTATGTGTGACAATTATTGTTCTAGACTATAAAATAAATACCTTTAGGGCTATTGAAAACTAGTATTTTTACACTCAATTAAGTGACTTGCCCAAATATTTTTAATTCTTGTGTCTATTTTTAATACTTTCGTGCCTTTCTTGTTCAGCTGTTGGCTTTCACATTTAAGCTGCTGTCATTGTGCCTGTCCCTCACAGCCTCTCACTACTGGCATCTCCACCACTCCCTCTTCTCAATTGCTTTTCTAAACTGCTTCCAACATGGAACACAGACAGTCAAACTCATTATAATTATTTAAAAATAAATAGGTTGAGTGAGGGCTAGAGGCATTCTACTCAGAGTAATGTGCTTCAGCTTTGGGGCTTCACCTCTAACTATCTCTTTTATTTATTAATTTTAATTGTGGTAAAATGTACAAACAGAAATTACCATCTTAACCATTCTTAAGTGTACAGTTCAGTAGTGTTAACATTTACATTGTGGTTGGTGCAGCCAATCTTCAGAACTCTTTTCCTCTTGCAAAACTGATATGCTCTCTCTTTTGATTCTTACCTCCTTCCATTTCTCAGCGATTCTCTCAGTTATTGCAGTGACTACACAAGGGCCTCTGAATGGCTGAGGTGTCAGCATAATGCAGTAAAAAAGGAGTCAAGTCTAGAAGTCAGTTCAGAGAGTGCCCTGGGGATGGGTCCTGGGATTCTGCTGGAGTGAACTGAGTGGTGGTTTGTCCCTCCAGGCAAACATCCTGAGAAACTTGGAGGCTCAGCTGAGAGTTTGATCCCAGGTTTTCAATCAACCCAAAGTGATGCTTTTGCCACTTCTTCGTTTTCCGCTGGAACCGGTTAGTATGTGAAACACCTAACAAGAGTGAAACCCAGACTCACTCTCGTCACCTTACACTGTTTTCCACTTCACTGGTAACTAGCAGGCCAACGAGCCCCAGATCCTGGTGGTAACTTATATTTTCCTTTATTCAAAATATTTCCAATAAAAAAGATAGAAAGATCTAGAATCACTTTCAATTAAAATGACAGAATGACTTGGCAGTAAAATACAGGATCTGTTCTATCTAGTCCATGGACATGTTTTAAGCAAATGTTTTTAAATTTGAGGAACATCACACTGTTAATCTCTTGTAATTGCTTAGGTTCTTGGGAATAACTTGAAAAATTTTAAGAATTAGATGTTCTGTCCTATATCTGAGACTCTGCTAAGCTGTATTTGTGTGTGTGTGTGTGCACGCTTACAGGGAAGGAGGTATCTTTTTAAGTGAGACTTTTTTAAAGTTATGGAAGCAATAATAAGTGAACTTTCCTCTTTAATAGTAAAAATTATACATATTTTTAAATATATATATTTAGAAAAAATTTTTTTTGTTAATCCTCACCAAGAATATTTCTTCCATTGCTTTTTAGAGAAAGTGGAAGGAAGGGGGGAGAAGGGGAGAGAGAGACACAGACACACGAAGAGGAAGAGAGATAGAGAGAAACGTTGATGTGAGAGAGACACATAGACTGGTTGCCCCTCCCACATGGCCTAACTGGGGCTGGGGATCGAACCTGCAACTCAGGTACGCACCCTGACTGGGAACTGAACCCACAACCCTTCAGTGTGAGGGCCAATGCTCCAACCACTGAGCCACACTGGCCATGCCAAAGTTATACATATTTTTAATATAAAAGTTAGTAATTTATAGAAAAGCGTAGGGAAGAATGTTAAAATCCCCATGATCTCACCACTGAGAAATTAGCAGAGATATTATTTTGAAGTGTGTTAGTGACATTTAACCTTTTTAGGAACACAGAGAGATATCTTTGTGAATCTAATGAATCTTACAGATCTCCCTCATGAAAATACAAGTGACCATAATTTTGTACACAGTTTTAGACCTTAGCTTAAAACTCTAATGTATGTCTTTATAGTCATATTTTAAAACCTATTTATTTTACCTAATAAATCTGGCATGTTTCCTCCATATTATTAAAGAAGCTCCTAAAATATAACTTTAAAAATATCTGCATTAGCCAGGCTGGGCGTTGCTCAGCAGTTGAGCTTCGACCCAGGATCCAGGCGATTGGGGTTCAATTCCCCGTCAGGGCACATGCCCGGGTTGAGGGCTCGATCCCCAGTCGGGAGCGTGCAGGAGGCAGCTGGTCAGTGACTCTCTCATCATTGATGTTTCTCTCTCTCTATCCCTCTCCTTTCCTCTCTATGAAATCAATAAAGATATATTTTTAAATAATAATAATAATAATAAATAAAACTAAAACTTAAAAAAAACCACCTGCATTAAATTCCTTTATATGGATATATCTTAATGTATTTAACTAAGTATCTCTTTTTTAAACATTAATTTGATGTTAGTGTTTTACTATTATAAATTCCTCAGCAATGGGCATGAGCGAGATTTTGAATATATTTGTAGGAAATAGAATTTGATATACTTCTAAAATTGATCTTTTTAATTATATTGATTAATTTCTGCTTTTAACCTTATATATTCTTTATTCTTGCTCTCTTTAGGTGTGTTACTAGTTTTTCTAACCTCATAAATTTATTTCTGATTAGAACTTTGGCTGTCATTCCATAATATTTGATATGTAATGCTCTCTTAGTCTCATTTTATGGATGTTTTTAAATTACAGTTTTGATTTCTTCTTTAACCAAGAGTTACTTTGCATATATTTTAATTGCATTGTGATAATATGTCCAGCCTCTGCAGTTTTTGTTTTGGGCTATTATCGTCCAGTTTATTATTCATTTTATAAACATTCTATGGGAATTAGTAGTTTTCTGTGTCAATAAATAGTAATCTAGAACATGATTCTTAATAGGATAGTAACATTATATTTAATATCTCCTTTGATGAATATTTAGGTTATCAGTAATTTTTTACCATGTAAACATTCTTGAAGCTAAATTTTTGTTTATATCTTTTACAGTTTCTTTAAGACAACTTCTAGGAGATTATTAGCTTAATCAAAAGATATATTTTAAGGCTTTGGGTACATATTTCCAAATTGCACTTCAAGAATGCTCTACAAATTTTATTTCCATCAACAGTAAGTGATAGTAATTTTCTTCCCATTTCCCCACCCAGCTCAGCTCAGAGATTGTAGGCAGAGGACATTGTTTACTGGCCATTTTTCTTTCTTTTGGGATTTGTATTATTTGTGTCCTTTGCATTTTTTTAATGTTCTACGCTCATTTTGTTCTTATTTATTAGTAGGACCTCATCATATATCATATATTGTAAACATTTTCCCCAATTTGTCATTTGTCCTATAAGAGTATTATCTCCTCTGACCCTCTCAACCCACTAAGGTCGGTAGATTGTCCCCTCATCAGTTACAGTTGTGGTGAGGAGCAGATTGGTCTCTTTTCCAGGATCCCATAGCTAGTGAGTGGCAAAGCTGGGGCAGCAACCCTTGGCTCCAGAACTTCCTTCCTTGGGTTTTCTGCCAGTTAATGAGGCACATTTAGTAATATCTTCCTAGAAAATTATCTGCAGTTTTAAAATAAAATAGAATTATACTATTTTCTTTATTGTATCAATTTTAATTGTATGTATTTGGATGTCTCTTTTTCTTAGTAATTCTAGGTAGAGATTTGCTTTTTTAATATCTTTCAAAGACATCTAGATTTGTAAAATCCACTGTTCTTCTGTCTTCTAATTCGGTAACTTTTGCTTTTATCTTCTAGACTACAATTCCCTGTTTTTCTCAGGTTTGCTTTGTCAATATCAGGAGGAACACATAGTAAAAAATTTTTTTAATTCTTTAAAAAAGTTAATGAAAGTATTTAGAAATTTCCTCCCAATGTAACAGTGATTTTCAACCAGCCTGAGTCTGGAGAGGGAGGTTAATTATAATCTCCAGGAATAAATGTTCCACATATATTCCAATATTCTCTTTGCTCCTTCCCCCTTCACTTGCCCACCCTACCCCAACCTTTGAGGATCACACTGTTTACTGAGAGTGCTTTCTAACAGGTGTGTGTTTGCCTCTAAGAAAAAAACTGAAATTTTAATTATATTCCATAAATCTTCATATGATGTTCTCATTATTATTTCGGAGTTATTTAGGAGGTATACTTTTTAAAATTAAGTAGTTAAATATTTTGTGTGTTATTTTTTATTTTTAGCTTTCTTGTCTGGTTTATATAATTTTTAAATTCATTGATATTTTGGTCTGGTTTAAAATGCTTAAAGTTTGATATATAAAATAGTTGACTAAATATACCAAATGTATAAAGCATTGACCATTGCCCTTGAGATAGAGCATCACAATGATGACCAACTGTGCTTCTGAGTAGGATAGTTTCCCAAGAAAGGGGGGGGGGTCATAGAATTAGCTCTAGAAAAGACTTCTTTGCTGCTGAATCCCAGAATTTAGTACAGTGTTTGGCTCAGCACAGACTTGTTGAATGAGTGAAAAGGTTTGCTTTTTGCCAAAGGATAGGAGCATGGATTCACCAATGTTAATGACAGGTCCCCAGTCATTTTCCATCCACTCCCAGTTTTCCTGCCTAACCCTTGTCACACATGGTTATGTTTTGTTTATTTATTTGTATCAACACTGTTATGTTTAAAGTTGTTTTTTGTTTTTGCTTTTGCCTCTTCTCCTCCTTTATGCTTACTTTGGAATCTGTAAATGGCATTATTTTTTTTTAAAGGGACTTAAAAGTCCAGCCAAAAAGACATATTTGAGTAAAGTTATGACAATAATACAGCAAGCATATATTGGGTGCATACTGTATGCTAAGTCCACTGGGTAAGTGCTTTTTTACACGTTATCTCAGGTGATTCTCACAGCAGCCCACAAGGGGTGAAGTGTCTCAAAGCCACAGTTGCAGAATGACAGAATAAAAATTTATACCTGGGCAGTCCAGCTCAGAAACGTGGTAATGACCACATCTCAAGAATCTTATAAATCAGTGACACTAAACATGATAAAGCACCTTCATATCTTCTTCATTTTATTCAGCCTTTTTAATGAATATTTAGTATGTTCCCTTCTTTCTTGTTTGTGCAGTGAACTTTTTTTATGTAACACCTTCTTTCCAAATGAAAGAAAATTATATCTAAATCCTAGAAATTAATGTCATTTGTATGAAGTATACCATTTCCTATAAGTTTTCTAATCAAACTCAGACTGTTCCCTGATTTTAAACCTTCTGACTGACCAAGGGAGGAAATAACCAGGAAATTTGGTAATAAGTTGGGAAGGATGGCACAAAGGTTGTTTTAAACATTTTTATGGTAAAAGCTACAAAAATGTTCATGAACTGTATCCATACATTGGAGACAGAAGTTTAAAAGTTGACATTGTGCCTCTTTATTTAAAATGCTTTTCTGTTGCTAAGTTATTATACACATTCATTTGTGAAATTTTGGAAAAATTGCTAAAAGCCCGAAAAAGCAGGATTAAAAACTTGTGACCCTACTTTGAGAGGAAAGCATTGCTGACATTTTACAGTATTATGTCCATAATTTTATTTCTGCATATATACTCTTTTCAAAAATGAACTATACTATATATTTAGTTTTATAATTCTCTTTTTAAAATACATTTCATTGCGTCTCATTTAAAATATTTCAGACACTTAGGAGCAGGTTTTTACCTTTCTCTTCCTTCGTCTGCCTTTAAAGAAGTTTAGTAAAAAACTCACTTTAATAACATTTTTTTGATAGCATGGTTCTGTATCATTGTTGTGGTGCTTGTACTAGTCCTGTGTAGGATCCAATCGCAAGGAACTATATATACACACAAACAAGCACGTGCATAGGAAAAGTGAATAAAGTAAAGTTAACGGCAATATGCCAGTGTCAATGCTACTGTACTATATATAGTGGTAGATCTCACCACGGAGAGAAGCTATTTGAAGGTTCACAGGATTCAATGTATAGCAACTTCCTATGATTCCATAATTATTTGAAAATAAAAAGCTTTTTAAAAATCCATTGTATAGAAGGCAAAATGAGATTTTAATTTATGAACAAACTGAATATTAAAGTGCATCGTAAAAATTGGTAAAGTAGAAGCAGAGAGACCTGCGTTCTGACCCTGGGTCTACTGGTGGACCTCTGGCTAATTTCTTAACTTCTGGGTTTTATTTTCTTTTCTGAAAAGTAAGAAAATTGTACTAGAAAATCCTAAGATCCTTTAAACTCTGATATCCCGTAGGGTGCATAAATTTCTGTAAACCTAAAAGTTTGCCAAATATAGAATGAGCACTAGTATGTTAGAGATAGTTCAGAGGTTAGGGGTTGTTTGACCTTGCAGGAGGCAAGAAGTCTATTTCTGTCTCTTCTTGTCTGTCTGCCTAGCATTGTTTTAGACATTTGATGATACAACATCCTCAAGAAGGTAATGGGTACATAGGAAATACCTATAATGTGTGCTAGATTACATAATAGACAGCGTTTGCTTGTGTGCTAAAATGTGCAATGTGAACAGTGGTTGTTATAGGAATTCTGAAACAGATCACAGTGGACTTCCACATAAGGAAGAAGTGGAATTTCAGATGTATGAATATCCTAGTTTTATCATTAATTTCATTTTAGAATATGTTGCAAGGACCATATTATATCTTATTCATACTTTGCTGTTATACTGTATTATATCCACTCATCCCTCTTTATCCTACCTCTGCCTTTAGACTTGTTCTGTAACTTGAGTTGTTGGGTTAATAGGTGGTAAATTCATCTAGATTTACTTGCTATTTTCTGCTTTTCTCTTTTTTTCTCTCCTTGATCCTTCCTTCTCCTCCAACCAACTCCAGCTGAAAAAAAGAAGGGTGGGCAGACTGTGGATTCTAACCTTCCCCTTCTAAGTGTATCTGATCCTTTCATTCCTCTTCAAGTACCTGATGCACCAGGTAGGTAAATAGAACTGAGCTGAGGTTGACCAGCTTGATAATTATGTCCCAGAGCCTCTTGAGAGTTGCTTTAAAGACTCCATGAAAAGGATCTGAATTCCATATTAGTTTAATATGATTATAACAATATGGAGGGGAAACTTATAAGCATGTAATAAAAGAACAAAATGGGAATAATGGTTATGGTATGACGATTAGATAAATGAGTGACTTTCTATCATTTCTATTTTCCTGTAATATACTTTTATAATATAAAAATGCATAATGGAGTTGATAGGAAATGTGAGTCAAGAGACCTGGCCTCCCTCCCTGGCTCTTCCACTACCTGAAAACCTTCTGAACTTGGCTCTTCATCATGGGAGTAAAGCAGACTGCATGAATTCGAATATCCCCTTACATTCCCCGTATCCTACTTTTTAAGTGAGCAATCCAAAGAAGTAAGAAATGGTTAGTGTGCTCTGATCGAAACCACTTTTGAAACATAATTTGCAGTTTCTGAATGCCAAAGATTTCTTTTCCTGCTCTCCTCCCCATCCTTTCGGGGGAGGAAGAGGGTAATGTGAGGAACAGAAGCCACTTTTTCTCACCTCTCTCAGTCTCTCTGAAAAAGCAAATAGATCCAGCTCCTTGGAAGCATCTGGTGGTCATNAGAACAGAAGCCACTTTTTCTCACCTCTCTCAGTCTCTGAAAAAGCAAATAGATCCAGCTCCTTGGAAGCATCTGGTGGTCATTTTGCTTCTGCTAGTTTTCCTTTTCTCCCATTTTTACCTCTGCTGATTCCTGTTCTTAAACTGATAAGATCTGCTTGGTTTTTTCTTTTTCCCCAAAATGCTAAAGGCATTTGATTGATTGCCTCAAGATTGGAAGTGATTGTGATATTCATACCCTCTCCCTACCAAGTCAGACTGTAGCTAGAGTACCAAGACAGTTTTTATTTCTGTAGGCGATTTGTTGACCCTTCTAAAGAGGAAGCAAAAACTTGTCTTGATCAGGTCGTATCATGTAACATAGCTTGCTGGACCTGGAGGGTGAATGTAGGTCAAAAATATCTAAAACCACTGAAGAATGATTCAGTAAAGTGTAGTTAAAGAAAAGAGAAGAAAGTAATAAAATCTGTCAGTACCTAGACAGGCCAGTTTCAAGCAAAGGCTGGAAAGGGACGGGTTGCGAACTCAAGCTGGATCCTACTGACCTCTTTTTCCTCCCCGATGTGGCAGTCATGGGATCAGACAAGAAAAAGGGATTATTGAGGCGTTCTTCCTTTGACACCACTTCAGGGTCTTGCACTGCTCTTACCTAGATAGTCCATGGGCTGTGGAAGCTGGAAGGGTGGCCTTTTAGTACAGGCCAGAGGATGAAGCTAAGCAAGTTGCTGTGCTCTGCAGCTGTCACAGGAGCCCTCTGGATTAAGGATGAGGGACCAGGTACATGCACCAAGTGGTTCAGGATGTCCACTCCAGGTTGTAGAGATAAATTTTGAAGGGTTATGGAGGTGAGCCTGGGAGCCACTAGAGCAAGCTGGCTGCCATCCTTACCTTCCTTATTGTTATCTCTCCTGTCTCCTGATCTTCCATATTAAAAAGTCCAAGGTTGCTCATAGTATATGTCTTTACTCTGTAAAGTTTATCTTCCTGCAAATTCAGTTCTCTAGAATAAACTGGCTGTTGACTTTTGCTTCTAACTTGCAGCTGTTACAGATTTTAGTGTCTGGTTTCTCAGTGATAGGAACTATTTAGAGTGACTAGATGTTAAAAACAGCATCTCTCATCACAAGACTGCAGGGCTTACACCCAAGTTAGAGAAGATGTCAATTTCCAAAGCCACCAAGGTGTGGCAGCCAAATCATTCCTTTTCATAGGGCTCACATCAAGCCCTTCCATGTTGGTTGGTTCAGCCTGCTTTGTTCCTCATGGCTGTGTTGCTAATTAGGATTGGAATGGGCCTTGAGCAAGCCCTTAGTCTTATAGCCTATATAAACAGATAGACTTATCCTCTATTTGATACATTTTTAAAATTTATTTATTGATGTTAGAGAAAGAGGAGAATTGATTTGTTGTTCCATTTATTTATGCATTCATTGGGGTTTTTTTGTATGTGCCTGACCCAATATTGAACCCGCATATCGGGTTAGTATATCAGGACTACACTAACCAACTGAACTATCTGGCCAGGGCCTCTTTCAATATTTTAAAAGAAAGAAAACTCACAACTTGCAGTACATCCCAGTCTCATGATGGGAAATGGTTTTGATTATCTAAGCTTAGACTGGTTTATGAAAGATTTATTACCTTCTTGCCTTGTAGTTGATATTTTTAATAGCTAAGTCTTGAGAGGAGAGGTATAAGAGAAGAATCTGATGCCCTGGCCAGTGTGGCTCAGTTGGTTGAGTGTCGTCCTATGCGCCTAGAGGTCGCTGGTCAGAGTACATACCCAGGTTGTGGGCTTGATGCTAGTTTCTTTCTCATCAGTTTTTCTCTCTCTCCCTCCCCCCTCCTCTCTTTCCAAAATCAATAAAACATATTTTTTTTAAAAAAGAGAAGAATCTGAAATGGAATAATTCCTACCTCCAACTCTAGCAGTGATTTCCTTATCTCTTTCCCTAGTCACCAGTGCCACTATGTTTAAGAGAAGAGATGGAGGTGCTGTCTCGCCTCCTTCCTTAATTTGAAAGTACTAACAATCCTCTCCTTTCAAAGCACTCTCCATTTACATTGCCCAGGTTAACTAATTCTTCATGTACTGTTCTTCAAGGGTTCACCTTCTCAGTCTTTTAACCTTGATTTCAGTGCTTCTCCAAGCTCTTAACCTGACTTATTTTTAATTGGGAACCCTAGAAACTTGAGAAAGAACTGAGTATACTAAATGGGTATGCAATTGGAAAACACCACCAACAGAAAACCATGAGCAGACAATTCATAAAAGACCAAATATATTTTTAGAAAGTAAATATATTTTTAGTAAATATATTTTTAGAAAGCTTATCATCATGATGAATACAAGAAGACCCAATTTTAAAACAATGAGATGCTGCAGCTTCTGTTGTCAGATTGGTAAAGATGGAAAAACACCCTAGCACCTCAGGCTTGGTGAAGGTATAAGAAAACAGGCATGCTCAGATCCTGCTAGGGGGAACATCAGTCAGTTCAACTTTTAGGAGGACAGTTTGGCAGTTTATAACAAAAACCTTTAAGAGTTTATTTTCTCTTTGACTTCACAATTCTTTTCTAAAAAATTATTCTAAGAAGACATGAGTATGCTCAAATAGTTATCAAATGGTTAGAATTTATTTGAAGTGATTAGAAGCGTATTTATTTAAAGTTTTAAGAGTGTGTTTTTCTCTAGAAGTGAGATTATGCGTAGTTCTTACCTTTATCCTTTGACTTATCTGTATTTCCCAAGTTTTCCACAATAAACATGTATTGCTTTTGTAATAGGGATCAAACCGTTAAAGTTCTATTTCTCAAATGAGGAGCAAGCTTCAATAGTGCCCCCTTCTTATCCTGCTCTCTGGGCTGTGCCTGCCGGGGCTGTTTGCATGTTGAACAGCATGATTAGTCAGCCCTGCATTTTCCAAACCTGCTACCTTGGGGCCAGTCATTTTACCACCTGCCTGTATTACCAGTTCAGATCTCCAGTTTTATCTCTCAACAATCCGTCTTCTAAATAACCAGTTCCTACTTCCTACTTTTTTGTTCATGTTGGGTGATTGACATTTAGAGGTAGATGGGACCTTTACGTTTATCTTCATTTTATCAGTAGGAAAACTTAGATCCAGAGAAAGATAACGATTTGCCCAAAGTGTCATACAAACTTAGTACAGAGCTCAGGTCTCTTGTCTTATTACCTTTTCTTCCTCTCTGTTAGACCATGCTGCCTGCCTCCTCACATTTCACTTTATTCAGAGTTCTGCTTATTCTGATCTCATACCAGGGTTTGAGAGTGAGAATGGAGCTCCACCCATCTTCACTACTGTGACCTCAGGCCTCGGTGGTTTGCTGATCCCTCATCTAGTCCTAAAAGAAAGGTTAACCTCCTTTTATGTACCAAGCCCTTCAATTTATACACACACACATTAATTCTTATAAATACACCCATTAATTTCTGACAGCCCTTTAAAGTAGTTTTTAGCCTTTTTTTACAAGTGAGAAAACCAATGCTTAGGTAAACTAGGTAACTAACTTAAATGATCAGAGTCAGCTTCAGAACTGGACCGTTTTCTTCTGTCCAGAATTGGACAGAATGGAATATGACAGGGTCATGTACTTGTGAATCTAGCACAATGGAAATGGGAAACTCTTGTAAAATATTTCTTAGGAAGATTAAATCATTGCAAAATGCAGTTAATGAATTGTTTCTGGTCTCTCTGGGTTTTACTGGCCTCTCACCTTGTTTAATTGAGAATTAGGGTGTGAGTCTGTACATTTCAGTGTAAACTCTCTGAGAAAATGGGTTTTGCTTTTGTATCGAAAGAAGTCATTTTCCATGATTCATGTAAAATTTTAAAAAGTCTCTATTCGTTACATGTCAACAAGCCGTGATATGCCGATGTGGAGCTCGATCAAGGTTTTGGATCTTAAAGACCTCTTCCAGCACAGTTTCCTAAATTTGCCACCCTCTTCTCTGCACTGCTCTTCCCCATCCATCTTCCCATCCCCATCATGATACATGCCTCGTAGTGTTTTTATAAAACTGTAAGAGAGGACAGAATTCATAAAACAAAAGCTACCAAGGCCGCCCTTGATGCACACGAGAAGCCTCCAGACTGTGATTTATAGACTACCAGCCTCCTATAGCCTTTCCTGTGCCTCCTTTTACATCCTGTCCTCAAGTTCTTCATTTATAGTGACCAAAAATAACCAATGATAACTTTAAATGTGACCTCTTCCAAGAATATTTACATTTTAAAGCAATCAAGGCCTTAGGAGTTAAGTTAAGCCAAAGGAGTGAATCTCTAGTGCATAGAAGATCTGGGTCCTAATCCAACTGGCTCTGTGGTGTTCATGCCAGAAGCTCTTAGGCAAGTTGTTTTACTTTTCTGAAGCTGATTTCTTCATCTGCAAATAACAAGACTAATTGGATAGGATTCGAGGTTCCTTCCAGTGCCAACATGTCTTTCATTTGTGTTGTGTTGATGGAGGTAGGCAGACCTGTAGGCAGCATGTGAAAGCCCAGTCCAGGCTCTACCACGTCCCATCTGTGACTTTGGGCAAGTCATACATCCTCATAGTCTCTGATCTCCATTCTCCTCAATTCTGTGTTATTCCCAAACCCAAGTTTTTTTGTGGATGATAAATGACAATGTTTTACATTGAACTCGCCAAATGTAAGTGATGAATGTTGTTATAATGTTGCCTGGGGACCAGCACTGAATAACTGAGTGCCTTTTCTTCCCACTTTGAGTACTGGGAGTGAAAGAAGCTGCTTTTACACATGCCTTCAGATGCTATAGCCTTATACTCTCACTTCTAGTTTTCTGCCTGGTATTAATTTGTCCCCTGCCCCTCCCTGCCACAGTTCCAGTATTTGAGCATTCCCAAGCAGCAGGGACCATACAGGTTACCTACGTGAGTAGCCTGTTACTATGAGGTTCGGTCAGAAAGCAAGCCTCCCTAAATTTGGCATCTCACTCCATTTCATCTCATCACACAACACATGTACACATGCATGCACACATGTACTTTTTAACCCTCTTACATACTTTTTGCTTATGGCTAATAAAATCGATTCTTGTTAAAGAACCTATTTCCAGCTGACCCTCTATCATCCCCACCTCCCTGGTGTAACAGTTAGCTAGAGGGAACTGAGAACTGGGGTACAGAGATTGATAAAACACCTTCCCTACCTTAAGTCAGACTGTAAGGACTACAAGAGCAGTGAGTGCAGAGTGCTCCAGAAGGTTTCAGTGAGTCCAGAGTGCTCCAGAATGTTGGCGGGAAGGGGGGGGTTGTGGACTTTGAGGAGATGATGGTATTTAAGTGACCAATGCAAAAAGGTGTGGGGAGGTTTCTGCATTTGACAGCTGAGGAGGTAGTGTCAGAAGTTTAAGGGACTACCCCATAGTCACACTGGGTCCCTGGAGAGGCTAGAATTCAGACTGGAAGAATGCTAGCCTGAGGTTTGGCACCAAGGTAAACAGGCAAGTAATTTTGGGTCTTTACTTTTTATCCATTGCTTTACAAGATTGCAAATATGTGAGTGCTAAAAGTGAAAGAAACAATTACTTTTTTTTTTTAAGTGAGAGAAGCTTTTGGGAGGAATAAAACAAAAACCAATGTTCAGAATAAAAAATTAGACTTTTTGGGAAAACCATCTTATTTTTGCCAGGATGCTGAAAATTGTCAAAGATATTTTAACATATTTTCTTATAATAAAATATTACACATAGTTCTAGATTAATGCTGATGTGATTATTCTGTATACTTGGTTAGTGCCCTGGGGTTTTTTCCCTTCTGTTGAGAAGCTTCCTTTTCGATTCCTTTCTTTAATATAAATCAGGCATAAATGAGAAATGTAGCATGCTATTTAATTCAAAGATAGCTACACGCCATGTATTCCAAGGGTGGTAAATCGGTTTCACATAATAAAGTGTCTTTTTCTGCATTGTGTTAATAGTACCAAAGCAAATTATCTTGCCAAGACACTAAAATTCATTATTTTGTTCCATTTGTGTAGTTATAGATCACCTAACTTACAAATCACGTAAAATTTGGTTTCTATCCCTCAGTCAGTATCAATTTAGCCTGTACTTATCTCAATTCCTGATGGCCTAGAAGATCCATTAAAATGTTATGTACACATACATAATTAAAAGCGAATTTTAAGTCGATTCTTTTTTTCTAACACTTTTAGTTTTATCTTAATGGCATTTTATTTCAGTGATAGAAAAAACGTTGATAGGCCTTTAACTGGGCAAGTTACAGAATTTATGTGACCTCAGTCTCCTTGTAAGTAAAGGGAAGTATGAGCTCTTAATTCCCTTTCTACACAATTCTGTGATTTATTTTGTTTCAAGATAGTCCTCTACCTATAATAGGTTAAAGGTAAATGGATAGTGGTTGATGGATCAGGGTTAAAGGAATTATTTTGGAAGGAACCTTAATGTGTACAAATTATCACATATTAAGCTATCAGGTGTGACAAATCTGGTAGCTTCTGTTATCCTTTTGTTCCTTAGTTACAAGACATCAAAAGTAATACTTCTGCAGGCTTAAGTGACTTTTGTGAGATTCAGCCTTAAAATAATAAGTACCAGCATGTCACAGACTCTAGGTTGGCAAGCGGTAAATGATTGTTGAAGTTAACTTGGCCATAGTTTATTATATTCTCTTGGTGAGTTATAAACCATTTCTAAATGCAAGTAAAAAAAAAAAAAAGATTCAAAACTAAGCCCTGGAAGGGATATGAATACACAAAGACATATGCATATGCTTGTGGCAGCTTTATTTTTAATAGCTAAAAACTGGAAACAACCAAATGTCCACCAACTAGTGAATGAGTCAACAAAATGTACATTCATACAGTGGAACACCTCCCAGCAATAGAATGGAACAAACTGCCAATACATGCCACAGTGTAGAGGAATCCCAAAAGCATTATGGTAAATGAGGACAACCAGACAGAAAAGACTACATACTGTATGGTTCCATTTATAGAAATCCTAGGAAAGGCAAACTCTCGGGACAAAAGCAGATCAGTTGTTGCCAGGGTCCAGGAGCAAGGAGGCATTGATTAGAAAGGGGCACAAAGGTACTTGCTGGGGTGATGGAAATGTTCTACATCATTATTTCAGTGGTGCTTATATGAATGTGGACATTTGTTAAAATTAATCAAATTATACACTTAAAGTTGATGACTTTTATTCAGTGAAAATTATACCTCAAATTTTAAAACTGTCAAACCTAGGGCAGCATCTTGAATGCCTCACAGAGTGACTGCTTCAGTTAGGGAAATAATCAGTTCAAACTTCAAACTTTGAAAGCCTATTTTTAACAGGATACTAACATTATTTTTATGATGAATCCATACAAAATGTTGACCCCTAAAATGTATTTGCATAGAAAATGGAAAATGACAAGCTTGCTTTAATATCTAATTGCATGTTGCTTTCTCTTTACCTCTCTGCCCAACCTAGAAAAGCTAATTGAGGGACTCAAATCTCCTGACACTTCTCTTCTGCTCCCTGACCTCTTGCCTATGACAGATCCTTTTGGTAGCACTTCCGATGCTGTAATTGGTAAAGTCGCCATCTCTGTTTCTTCAGTACTGCATGATGTGTGTCTGTTTCAAGAATGTTAGCTAACTGGTTAACAGATTCCCTTGTGAATAGCCCTGGTCAGGAGTGGAAATGCCACCAAGGAGCCAAGGTTATTTAATCTTGTTTGTTAGCACCTCAAATGAAGTGTTTTCTCTGTACCAGGTGCACATCACTGTTATTTTTTGCCTTTCTTGATAGCCTGAGGTTTCTAGAGTGATGTTTTATGAATGAGGAGGAATGTGGGAAAATCCACATTTAGTTACAAAAGCTTCTTGAAAAAAGTTGGTTTTGAGCTGGACCTTACCTTGAGCAGATTCTTCTTTAGAAGGCCTCTGTATGTGCCAGGTATTGGTAACTGAGAAAACACATGCCTGGTGGTGAAGCCTCAGGAGTAGAAACCAGGGCAGGGGCTTGGTCTGCTTGCCCTTACGTTTCTCTGTGCTCCAACCGTATGGTAGGCAAGACCTACAAAATGCCCAGGGCACCTGTACTTCAGGGGCACAAAGTCCTAGAACTCAGAGAGACCATGACCCTACAGAGAGATGGTCCTCTAGCTGGGGGATGTCGCACAGGGTAGAATACCTCCCAGCTGCATCTTGGGGTGGGATTTGAGATGGACTAGTGGCCTTTGCAAGGCACAGAGCATGTGAAAGGCTCCCAAGTTTATCCCTTAAGAAAAGCAAAATTACCAGAAGATATTAAGGTACCTTTCAATCTGTGTCTTCTAAGGTGGAAGAGATACATCTGGATGGCTCTCATTCTGCATTTATCTGTAAAAACAGAATCCCCGAGACTAGCCGGAGTGGTTAACTTTGCACAGACGTGCTTAATCAGTGAAGCCCAGATACTCAGAGCAGCTGAAATAAAGTAACTTAATGTGCTGTCCATCTCGCCCACGCCTGGCACTTTAGAAACCTGTAGGGGAAGCCTTCACAGGATTGTCCAAAGATCTCTGACTGCCTTTCCCTTACCCTTTATTCTCCTTTTTTAATGCTCTGTTACAAAAGAAAAAGCTGATGTTGCTGTTGAGAGTCTCATACCAGGACTGGAGCCCCCGGTGCCCCAGCGCCTCCCATCTCAGACGGAGTCTGTGACCTCGAACCGCACAGGTCAGTCAGGAGTCCGCGGCGGCGGGGCCTGCTCCGTGTGGTGAGCCTCAGAGCCAGTCTTTCCACCCGCGACAGATGGTCCTGGGCTTATTTTGCAGCCTGGTTAGTTCCTCCCAGAAGGGATGCCCTGTATTGTTACAGCCCCAGCTTCTAGGTACTGAGTGATGTGTTTCCTCCTTGAAAAGCAGAGTACTTTTTTTGGAGCCATGTTCTTTGTAGAGTAATCGCTGGGCTTTCTCTGATTACAGTCTTTATTTAAGATTTTTTCACTGGTGGCAGATTCCTTCCACCTCCTTAATTAAAGCACTCTGCTGAGCAGTAAGGATGCCCTTAATTCCTCCAGGTTACTGAGCAGCCTTTCCCCTCGAACAGTGATGTCCATGGAGCTCATGTTCTGGATGTTAACATTTTGTTCCTAACACTGTGCTCTAATCAGCTAGAGGTGATTTGCTATTAACTGTAGGCAAAGTTGAAATCTTCCCTGGTTCCAGCATTACTTTCATCCTAATTTTGAAGTTCACTCTTAGTGGACTTCCTTATTAACTGCCCATAAATACAGGTGATAACCTTCATTTTTTTTTTGAGTTCATAATTACCTTGATAAAAGTGTCCGATTTCCTAAATTAGAACAGAAACCATTAGAAGTCTAGGAAGTATGAAAATTAACTCATCCAGGTTTAGAAAAATTAACACAGAAGACAATAGGGTTTCTCTTCCTTGTGCTTACTTGGCTATTTTCTTCTAGAAAACTTTCCAGAAAATAATTCATGTGTTGAAATACCTGAACTCTGAATTTTGTCTTCCTTCTGTTCTTTAACTAAGAGCAATATTATGTATTCAAAGGAGCAATTCAGATTTTAAGAATACTACTAGTAAGAGGCAAGTAGTATTCATTCTATTTTGAATAGGAATCTGGTTGAGTTCTAGAAAGTACTGTTTAATCATGTAATATTCCACTAATAATAAGCCAGGTACAACCCCCTTCTAGTCATATTGGACACCTATTCTATAGCCACTTTTTTCTATGAATGTTTAGGGAAAGTGTAAGTGAAATTCTTTAGTTGCAAAGTTCTTTTTCCCAAATGACATTTGCTGAGAACTGAGCTGCCAAGCTTTTATTGGCATCCAAATCACATGCTTGCTTATCCAGCAACCTCTGAGCAAAAAATTCTTCAGTATTTACATATTAGGGTTAAGAGGATCTAGAAATACATGTTTCTGTAGATGAAATCCAGAGTGCGTAACATGTTTCTTTTGCTTTTCTTTCCCCTGCCTCGGCTTATATGTATGACATGTAAATGCAGTAACTTAAAGGCTAAGGTCTAATCTTGTGATGTTGTTGTATGTGCCATTTAATGCCATCACTGACCTGGGATGCTGTTAATCTGGATTCAGATTCTCTCACCGGGGAAGATTCCCTGATCGATTGCTCTCTGCTTTCTAACCCTACTACTGACCTTCTGGAAGAGTTTGCCCCCATAGCGATCTCTGCTCCAGCCCATAAAGGTAAATGCTTTCTTCTTCTTGAGCCGACATGTATCCTTAGAGGAGAACTGAACAACTCCTGAAATTTTTCCTTACCAAAAGTCTTTGCTAGTGAAGTGTTTTAACCACCTTATGTGGAAAACCTGAGCTTGTATTCTCAGCCACTGTGTTATAGTCCCTCTCAGAAAGAGTATTTAATAAGGCTTAGACAGTAAGTTGGTAGAGGTATTGCTTCCTAACAGTCACCTGGAATACAGATATTCCATGTGATCTAGTAAAGACAGCTCATGTAGATGGTTGAGTTGATTTAGTCACTGACTGTATTAATATGATACTTGGCCTTAGAACTTAAAAATGTTTCATCAAATATGGTGTAAAATTTTTGGCTACTAATAAATAGGTATCATTCCTCAAAAGTCAGCCCTCAAAAATTGAATTTGTAAAAGTTCTGAATTTTAGTTAACATTTGAGTCACAATTGATTACTGGATTTCTCTTTTTAATCTACCATTTTCACTTCTTAGTCTTAGGTTGGTACTGGTTTGTCATTCTGCTGGACAGAAATAGTTTGCATTGAGTGAGTTCTGTTCAGTGAGTAGTTTGTGAAAGTGATAGGCACAGTGCATTCACTAACCTTCTTTCAGTGCTTGGGTAGTGAATGTGATTTTCTAGAAGGAGCAAATACATAGAAAAGGAAGAGTTTAAAAGTCCTCTCTGAAGGAAATTCAAAAAGGAAGCCTCCCCAAGATGACTGAAAAATAATTAGCTTGTGGTTTGCAGTGGTAATAGCTGAGCTTTTGTTTTTACCCTTTATTGCATTGAAATGATTACGTTTTTATAGAGCATTTAGAAAGAAGTTACCTCTTAACCAGATATGTCTGGCAGGAGTGTGTCAGCGGCAACGTGTAATTACAGAGGAGCAGTACTTGCAAAATAGGCGCTCAGCTAGCACTCGCTGGTAGGATAGCTTTAATTAGAAGGGAGAAGAATATTCTAACAGGCTTCTGCTGGAAATCTCAGTGCATGTGATCTTGTGCCCCAACATCCCCCGAGGCATCAGTTATTTGAAAGTTTTTTTCCCAGTCAAAGGGCAGTGAGTCCTTTCAGCAGCATTTGTTTGCCTTGTACATAGCAGTTGCTTTGTAAAGAGAAACTGCCCCATCCATGGTTTTCAGATATTATTAGTCAGGCCTCTGTTTTCTCAATAAAGAAGATAAATGACTAATTTATCTGCCTTTGTGAATTACTGGCATTGAAGAAATACCTCACAGTAACTACAATGAATGGTCTTACAATTTTAGAAAGAATTCATCCTATAACGCTTCTCCCTCATCGTGTATGAAAGTCTTCACGTGGCCAGCACTAAAGCATTTTTTCTATTTTCCTAAGTTTTCCAATTTTGCTACTTTTATTTCAACTCAGGAAAATAAGCATTTTCATCTTTAAAAATGGCATTGATTGTACAGTTGGGAACTTTGTGCCTCTTACATGTTCTCTCATTTGCTAATCTCTGCTTCTGTTGTTTCTGCTTGTATACTTGCATTCTGTATTAAGCTGCAGAAGATAGTAATCTCATCTCAGGTTTTGATGTCCCTGAGGGCTCGGACAAGGTGGCAGAAGATGAGTTTGACCCTATTCCTGTATTGATAACCAAAAACCCACAAGGTAAGAAAGAAAGGATGGGGAAAAGAGCTCGACATCAGCTCTCTACAGAATAGTAGTGTACCTAATCTGCAAGGGGGGGAAAGGCAGCATTTAATTGGGGGTAATGACAGTCACTGTGCGCTGGACCAGTATAGCTAGATAGAGATACCACTATAGATAGAGGTACAGATAGTGGTATCTTAAAGCCTGACCATGGTGTTTCTTTAGAGAGAAGAAAAGTATTCAATAGTTTGACCAAAGGCTGTTTTTTTACAAAATATCAAGCCAAAACTAAAGTGATCTTTCAGTCACTGGAAACCTGAAGGCATATATATCAAAAAAAGCACTGAACATGTTTTATCATGATTAGAACAATTTGTAATAAACATTCTTCCCAAAGAGATTAACAATGATGCTTTGATATAATTTGCATCTTTTGGATGTTTGTGGAGCATACTTCTTCCTCTTTGATGTATTCAAATCATTTGAACATGCCACAAAACACCGAATTGCATAGGACCATCTATATATTTTTTTAAAGCTTGTTTTTAGTGCAGTGGTTTTAATAACAATTTTCTCCCCAAAGCAAAGATTACTGATTTTGACTCTTATCAGGGAGATGACTCTATGTTGTCAAGAAGTTAATATATAGCCAGCAGTTCTCAGGCAAAGTATATATTCATTTGAAAGGTGTCCTGCCTACAGGATGGTGTGCTCACAGTGCCTGAATCTTTTGTGGGAGGTGGTGGATACGTAATTTATATGTTTAAAAATCAACACGTAAGAGTTCGCAAATGTAAAATGTTGCTTCTCTAGGGTTTTGTTTTAGTCAGTTTTTTCTCCTTTGCTTGCTCTGCACATCTAACCCTTAACCCTCTGTGTTTTATACTGAATTCCTATCTCTCCACTTCCAGGTGGGCACTCTAGAAACAGCAGTGGGAGCTCTGAGTCCAGTCTTCCTAACCTAGCCAGGTCTTTACTGCTGGTGGATCAGCTCATAGACCTGTAGCCGTGACCCAGTATCAGATGCAGTTCTGTAACCTTCATACCGTAATATACATTTTCATTACGGAATTATAAGAAAAATGATTTTTTAAAAAATCTGCAAATAAGGGGCCCTCTAGCCCTTATCTCTCTCCCTTACCTTCTCCTATAGAAATGATAAGGAAAGAAAATCACTTTGGCCCTCCAGATATTCCTTGGCCAGTTCCTCCCTGTTCGTTTGCTGTGTTTTCTCATTACCCTTCTTCAATAGCATTATCTTAAATCAAGCACTAGACGCCATGAGCTTCACCTCAGATGGAATCAACTCCACCAAAAGCTTAGCTGTAACTGAAACTAGTGAATTGACACCTTTGCCTCATTCTTGCTAGGAATGGCCTCCCAAGTCAATCCTCCCGACCCGTCTCCTTTGGCCAGATGCTGATGAATGTTTCTCTGTTTTTGCTTTTTATCCTGCTGCGTTATTGTGAAGACACGGCTTCTTCAGTGGGTCTTAACTCTAGGCAGTAGCCTGGACACAGGGGTGTGGTTTTAGAAAGGGTGAAACTGACTGGCTGATGGTGTATGTTTAAAAGAGAAAGTGAGCCCAGCTCTAGTCAACCAACTTTGACCTCGCTTGGTCATAAACTTAGCCAAGGGATTTTATACCCCAAGCAGCCTGCCCAGCATTCGTCCAGCATTCTGGCTTCCATTGAAACGTGATTTTTCAGATCTGGAGACGTGACTGCAAGTACTTGAGATCCTTGGATAAAGTGTGTACATGATATAAATCCCAAGTATTGCCATTCCTTTTCATGTTAACCATCCCAAGCCGGGATCTCAGAATTAGACCAAAACAAGACAATGGTGGTAATATGATACCTTTTATTAGAAGACTTTTCACTGGGGGGGTGGATGGGAAGGGGAAGGAATTGTAGCAGAAACAGATGTATTTTTCTTGTGATTTTTATTTTGAATCAAATATTGTAAATTGTGTATAAATGAAGACGCTGAATAGTTCTGTTTCCACTTGGCGTTTCAAGTCCGATATCAGGTGTCTGTACAGGGTTTTGATCTCTTTCTCTTGTATAACTTTACACTGCAATCCTACGGTGTAACATATGGAATCATTTTGAGTAGACTTGTGTGTTGCTATAAGCTTTCAGCAGGTCCTCTGTCTTTGTAGAATAAGCATGTTGTTTATTTTCAGATAAACAGAAATAAGTGTGCTGATAAGCTAGGCACAATTTGACTCTGGCTACTTACCTTTCTTTCTCTGATGTTTGAATTGAAGGATGCAGCCAATGAAATGTTAGTTGGTTTTCCTTGGCTTCCTAGATGGAAAAATAAAACAAAGCATAGTTCCTCACTAACCTTAGAATATTGTTCATAAAATAAATAAAGGACCTTGCACTGACATGACAACATGCCTCATGGTCACCCTCTGTATATGTCCTTACTCAGTTAAGTGTATTTTTTTTCCTTACATGGAAAGGAGTTTTCTAAACTCACTCTTTTGAAAAGGTGCGCACAGAGAATCCACTGTGGTTCTCTTCCTTGAGTGCCATTGTCCGTGATCAGAGGGAAACCCTTAGTTGGTCAGATTTGTACAAATAAAATTCCAAGTCCATTTGCTTGTTGCTCTATCTAGTACTTTTGTTTCTTTTTTCTCATGTTTGCACTTTAAGGGGCGGAGGGTGGGGTGGGGGGGAATTGAACGGCAACAACAGTCTGCAAAACGCTGCACTTTGGAGGTCAAGCTTTGACCTCAGCAATGTGAGAGCAGCCTTTGAAAGTCATCAGAGGAAAAGTCTGAATCTTTCAGTCTTCCTTCTGACTTGAAATACTTTCCATGCCAGCTGAAGCTACATGCGCTAAGTAAAGGCCTCTATGAGGATAATGGATCATTTCCAAAATTGAGGAAGGCACAAGCCTTCCTGCTGAGGATATAAAAAGACATCCTTGAAGAGCTCTTCGTGATTGAATAGCAATGAAAATGGGACTTGGTTTGCCCCTTTATGGAAAGGAATATTATTGAAGATCAAAATTGTATTCTTTTTCCTGGACGTAGAAAGAATGTATAAACTAATGAAGGAAATGTTTATTTTTTAAATAAGAATAATGTTTTATGCCTACTTTTTTCAGTTTGTTTTTTTTCATACATATGTGTTAGAAATATAATGAAATATTTAGTTTCTTGAAACCATGGAATGTACAGTTTAGAAATTAGGTGTCTCTAAATTGTTCCTTTCATGTATTACCCTAATTACATTGAGATATATTATCTAGTCATCTGGTTCAATAAAGCTTAATGGAGACTGTTAATGAAAGGAACAGACTAGAAGCCAGAGACTGGATGGAGGAAGCCTGAGGGAGATAATGACATGAAATTCTTTAGGAGTCGGGCCTCAAAGGGGAGAACTATTTTTCTGTTAAGGAATAAAGTGAGTGACCCAATAAATGGGGCCTTTTGATATATAGCATCATCCCTAAACTAAACGGGTATATTTGAGCTAAGTGTAATGTGTTGATAATTAATAGATCTATGGAACTAGAAACTGAGCTATAAAAGGAACCTTAGAGATCATCCTCTAGTCCACCCACTTCATTTTACAGGTAGAGGACCTGAGGCAGGGTAGTGGGAGAAGATGCCTGAGTAGGACAGACCCCCTGGGATCTCATCTTGACCTCTGCTAGACACTGAGTTACCTTCAGCAGGCACATCCTTCTTGGAGCTGCTGTTCTTGTTTATACAATGATGGGTTTGGAATAGATGGTCTCTTGAGATTATAGAATTCTAGAGTTCTAAGTATATATTATTATGCTTCGGGAGGACTGTGAAGGATTTCTACATCCTGATGTTCTTCAGTTATCTAATGTAATTCTTACTGTAGCAGTGTATACACCTTAGAAAATTATAATGGGCTTTTACTAACCTGGGTTGCTCTTTCTTGGTTATCTGAATTAGAAGTCTAAATTATGACAGAGTTTTGGACATAGATGTTCCTTTTTTAATATTACACGCGCATGTGCACCACTCAGGGTACAACAAAACAGTATCCAATTTCAATTCTTTTAAAAATGTATAATCAGTGATCTGCTATATAAAAATGGACAAATACCGTAAGCATATGTGTTTCTTTGAATCGGATATATTATTTTTTAATTCCTTTTTATTTTTCAATTACAGTTTACATTCAATTATTCTGTATTAGTTTCAGATGTATAGCAAAGTGGTTAGAAAATCATGTAAACATATGTTTCTGATTTGCTTTTATTCCAATTGTGCAAGAGTAGTGACTATACCAGAAAACATCTCAAATTGTTTTTTTATTCCCTTTAGAGCATTATGATAACTAGATTGCCAAATTCAAGTCCTAATGTTTTTAAAAACATTGGCCTCACAGGAGATAAAGTTTAAGTGGACACTTATAAATATAATTATAATTAATGATTACTTTAACATATCAGAATTTTGACACCTTGTTGAGTGTTGTTCCCTGGTTTTAGTTGGGAAGCTAATACTTACCCTAATGATGCTACCATCATTTAAGTTAATTTTGAAGCTGTTCTCCTTAGAAATAACATCAAGGAAGGTAATAAGGTGTAAGAAAATCAGTTATTATTTTCTAATTGGTATTACTTTCAGCACCTGAAAATATGTTGTCTTTCTTGATCTACTTGTTCTACCACTCTTGGTTCTGAGTGACATTTAGCTGTTTCCAAAAGCAAAGTCACCACCCTAAAATGAAGAGTGGTTACTATTGAACATGGTAAAGAAAATAATCCACAGAAAACTCCCAGAGAGAACCTTATAATGGAAAGTAACAATGATCATTCTTAATTTCTTTAATATTCTGAATAAGGGAGTGTCTGATTTTGCCTGTCTTTAGAATGATTTAGAAAATTGGAAGGTATATATTTTAAAATACTTCCAAAACAGGTTGTCACCTTGTTTAGTGTCATTTGATAATGGACTCAGCTCTTCTTGAATTGGAATTATAAAACTTGGATTGCTAATAATTATAGGGGAACAAAGG